TTGGTAAAATAATGTGTTTATTAATGAGTAAAATAATAAAAGAGAAAAGAAAAACTAACGCGAGAGGCCAATTGCCTTTAAAACTGTAATGTCATGTGATAGGCCTGGTTGCCTCTTAAAATACTATCTTCTAGATTGGTTACCTACGTCGATAGGTCTTTAGAATTGGTTACCTACGTCGGCTAACAAAAATACACGAAGAGTAGCGTTGCGCTATCTTTTATAAAAGGGAGATTTCTATACAGCTGTCTGTCTCTCTAGCTTACAAAGGGGTTTATATTTATATCTATTTTACTATATATATTGACATTTCTAATATATTAACTATGTTAAACATATCTACTATATTAACTATATTAAACATATTAAACATGTTAAATATATTTGATATTATCGACATTTGTACTTCGCTACATAATTGTTGATCTATGATCGTCAAGATTATCACCCGGTTACATTACTCCCTACTGAAGATTTCTGCTCTTGCAGAAATTCAAAGTTTAAATTTCTAAAATTTGCAAAAAGAATTTTGCAAAATGCATGCTGTATTTATACGCAACCTATTAAAGGGGAGCATGCTGTATTCATGTTATCCGCAATCGACCTTATCAATATAGGTTTTCTAACATTATATAGGGCTAAAATTTGTTAAGTTTTAAAATTATGGGATTTAAAATTCTATTTAAATAGCTTGATTTTGACGGATCTTCTAAAGTCACATAATAAATTATTTTTCTTAAATATAACTTTTGTGCATGTTGATTCAATTATTTAAAATCTAAATCTTTAAATTTTCAAATTTTTCAAACAAAATGCCTTCTAATAATCATTTTAAAAATAATCTTCAAAAGAGTGTTGAACGTATGAGAACTTTCCGTTCACAACAAAAAAAGAAAATTCATGAACAGTTTGCAACCCTGCAAACTCAAGCACAAGAAGAAAAAAGAAAGAGGTTGCTTATGGCAGACAGACTGGTATATCTTATAGCTGATCAAAATACTCATGAAGAACCATTACAATAAAGAATAAATACGTTAGAAGCTGAAAACCTTTATCAAAAGGAAGCGTTTTTAGAACAGTGATTATTCCTTCTCCATTTGCTGAATTAAAAGGTTAAGAATCTGTTACTAGCCAATCAGCTAAAGCATTTCTTAATTTACGTTGCTTAAGTTCTTTATATAGCATAACTTTTTTTATTTGATCATCTACTTTTAATTGTTTCTAAAAAATAAAAATAATATATTAATTTAATATATATCTATCTGTAATAAAAATACATAACGATAATGTTGTCTTACCAATTTTTCTTTTTTAAACTCTTTATGAACAGAATTTAAATGATGTTGTTGAGTACTGGTTTGAGTATTATATATGCAACTATAATTATACTCTTCTTCTATTCCATTTTTTAATATTTTATATCTGCAATAAGCATGTCCGTCAGTTTTGATTTCAAAATGCTTCTACACCTAACTTGTTTTATTACTTCCAAGATCAACCCACTGAGGTTCTTGCTAATTAATATCTGAAGATAAATTAACAATATTATTTCTTTTAGTTAATCGGATCGAAATAATATTAGTTTAGCATTTATGTTTTCTATTCTGGTTTGGCATTTAAAAGGATATTTAAAAAAAATTTGAATTTTTCATGTTAAAATTAAATGCGTTGTGATGATCATCTGATATTTAAAAATTTAAAAATTATAAATAAAAATTCTGATACTTTAAAATGCATTTTTATGATGAAAAAAGCGAATAATGCTATAACTATGATTATTTTATTTGAAAGCTTTAATGTTAAAAGACCAGTTGCTATGTTTTAAGAATAAAAAAATTTTTCCTTCTTTTACGAATGTCATTGAACTTTAAAAGGAATTTTTTTTTAATAATGATATTATTTAGTTTTGTTTATTGTTTATTTATACGTCATATTATATCATAATGACATAATCGATCAAACATAATAATTATTAATCGATCATTTATAGAAATTTAATCGATTAAAAATCAATTAAAGTTAGTCTAATTTTGATTGATAGCAATATTTTGCAATCGACAAATTAATTGAAACAATCAATCATCGATTTTACTCAATTCAATTAAAAATCCTAAATAATATAAATAATGATGAATTATGAAAATAAAAAAAGGATTATTGAAGATTTGGATTCAAATAATAATAATAAAATAATCAAATAGAAGGTCTAATAATACTAAATGAACAGAAAATAAAGAATTACTAAGATCAAAGGAGAATATTATTAATACTAAATTTAAAGATATAAAAGATATTATGATAATATGATAAAATTTAAAGATGATAATGCTAAAATAATGAAAAATGAAAATTAGAAAGAATTCTTAGACAAATAAAAATTAATTTGTAAAACAAATTCTTTGAAAATGAGTGACAGAAATAGTTTAGAAAAATATAGTTCTCGTTAAAGCTATTGAACTTATAAAATATCATACATTTGTAAAATATAGGTTTGATATTTACAACGTGATAATATTCATATTTATTATGAAAATTCAAATCTAGTAGGTTAATACATAGAATCCTAAAAATCAGATATAAAAGTAAAAAAATAAATTGAACTGCCTAAAACATTCTTGCAAGTTAAATCTTACTAACTCTAGACCAACTAGTCATTTTATTATATTCTTGAGACAATCATTAATAAAGTATTCATCAATACAAGACAACTAGATTATTATTATACCTTTCTCTTTCTCTAACAATAATTCCTATCTTAAATTTAAATTCAATACAAAAACAAGTAACTCAAATTATTATTAAACCAAAAAAGAAGCTAATAAAAAAATGACTTTAACAAATTCCTAGCTAAATTGTTTGGTTAATTTCTTAACATAAAGTTTCATAAAAAATAAGGTCAGTATTGGCAGTTTTACATATTATTTAATTATATTAT